TGGGACAGAGAGAAAAGACTCAGTTTCGCAGTGCCTTTCAGAGAGATGAAGCCTGTCATCCACCTGGATCTATTCTTGCCGCGAGTCACCGAATTGGCTCTTTCAACTAGTGATAGGCAAACGAAGGTACTTTTTTCACTTATTGTTTATGTCCATTGATTTAAAATACATGGTATTGGTTAGGAAATAGGTAATATGTCCTAGCCATCTCCATATCATTAATTTTATATTTTCTGTAACTTGAAAGAAGTAGGTACCATTGATAAGTGCAAGTTAAATATAAATTACCTTACTAGAAACTAACCTGGCAAAGAATTAACACGTCAAAGATTTTTCATAACGAAAACTGCTGTATAAAAAGATGCTCAAAAATGGTTTTTCATGTTTTATTGTCCCTTTAAGCTGGGAGCTTAGAAACAGATACAATCTGTTTAAACAGGTAAAATCTCAGATTTTAATTTTTAAATATCTGAACTGCATTAGAGATATTTACTAAAGTGATAGTTGCAAATGTGTTTCCAAGTGAAGCAAGAGGGCCGGGGAGATAGCTCAGTAGAACAAGCGCTTCCCTGGCAAGCGCAGGGGCTTGAGTTCACGCCCCAGTTCTGCCAAAAAAAAAAAACAAGTGAAGGAAGATTATGCAGTTCTCTACTGCGGCAGCATTGAAGTACGTTTCTTATGAATTGTCTTAGTACCTAAAGCTTTGAGATTTCAATTTTTAACTTTCAGATACAGATGAAAAAGAATAAAAGGCTTAGCCTCATAGAGGAAGTGTTTCTTCCAGTCACTTTTATTTCTGGCTTACGTTTGGCTATCTGTAAAGTTTTTCTTCTTAAAGGCCTAAATTGAATAACATTTCAAAATACGCTCTTGTGAACATGATAATTTCAACTTTGCTGCACTCCTGGCCTGTTTCAGGTGGCGGCTTGTGAACTGTTACACAGCATGGTCATGTTTATGTTGGGAAAAGCCACTCAGATCCCGGAAGGCGGGCAGGGCTTGCCACCCCTGTACCAGCTCTACAAGCACACATTTCCCGTGCTGCTTCGCCTTGCATGTGATGTGGATCAGGTGTGTTCATGATTCTGCGTCTAAAACAATTTCAAAACCTAAAGTGTGATCTCCTTCAGGGGCCAGCAGAGCTTGCTCCAAATTAGAATCACCCAGAGATCTTTAAAACTAATAATTTTTTAAAATTTATGTTCTTGGTTTCTCATGCAAGAGAAACAAAGAGATATTAAATGTATGTGTCTGACTTATTTCACTTAAAAGTATGGTGTCAGGGTGTTTCCAAGCCCTATGATAAATGTGATCAGTTTGTATGACAAATATATACTAATCAAAAATAAAGTTAAAAAATTAATATTGTTGCCTGGCTGCCACCTCAGGTGCTCTGATTTAATCATTTAGGCTGTGACCTGAGGATATGAACTTTTAAAAAGCTTCCCTGGAAATACAGTGTGTGTAGAGTTTGGGACCCACTGTCCTGGCTGTGCCTACCAAGAGTCGAGGCACCTTAGGTGGACTGTCTGTCACCCTCCTCAGGGATGGATTCAGCCTTCCAGGGAAGGGAAAAGCCCTCTCCTTGGCCGAGGGGCATGGAAGAAATGGTTGCCATAAAGGCGCCGGGGAGATGGCTCAGTAGAATAAGTGTTTCCCTGGTAAGCGCAAAGGCCTGAGTTCACTCTCCCGTTCTGCCACACAGTGGTTACCATGGATGAGCCTTCCACGGCTTCCTTGAAGCAGATCATCTTATGGAGCAGGAATGAATCTGGTATCAGGGCATGCACATAAAAAAGAAACACAAAACTCACTTAATAAATACAGATAGGATGGGCATGGGGGTGCAGGCCTGTAATCCCAGCACTCAGGAGGCTGACGCAGCAGGATCATTTTGAGTTTGAGACCAGCCTGGGCTACAAAGGGAGCTCAAATGCAGCCTCAACTGCATAGGGAGACCCTGCCTCAAAAAGACAAAAATAGATAAAGCAAGCAGGCCGGAAGATTTTGTTGTATATATGAGTGAAGATAGTTCAGGAGTGTGTTGGGTTGCCTAAAGTGGGATTTATACTTAAAACTGGAAATGTACCACAAAATGAGTTTAAAAAGTAGCAGTCCTTTTCATAGTGCCTAAAAGGCCTTTGAGGGGGCCTGCCCCTTAGCTCCTTAAGTGCCTGCTTCAACAAAGCAGTCAGGCTCAGCTTGCTGTGGTTTGATCCCCAGAACTCAAGCCAGCCAAACCTGCCCTGAAGGCATTAGGAGAAAAAATAAAATAAATAAATAAAAAAATAAAAGGCCTTTGATGGGTGCTGGTAAATAAGAATGGTGTAATAGCACCTTGTTTTGTTTTGCCCTACTGGAGACTGATCTACATCCTTAGCCTTTTCTAAAATTAGAGCTAGGGTCTAAGTTAATAATTAGTAATTATTATTATTATTATTTTTTTGGCCGCTCAGGATGCCTTCAGGGCAGGTCTGGTTTGGCTTGAGGAAGAGGGGATTGAACCACAGCATACTGAGCCTGACTGCTTTGTTTCAGCAGGCACTTAAACACCTGAGCTAATGGGCAGGCCCCCTAGTAGTAATTGTTAAATTACTAATTACTGCTCAGTTAGTTAGGCTCAGTTAGTTAGGTCCTCCTGCCTTAGCCTCCCAGACTACTGGGCTTAGAGGCTTGCACCCTCCTGCCCCACTTTAGTACTGCCTTACTGATCCATGTCTGCCTGAATCTCTCAGCCAGCCCGTCCTCTGTGTGAAGCACGGAGGCCTCCTTGGGCCTCGGCCCCAGCACTGCGCGTGCCTGTTGGGAGTGGCTCCTCCGCTGCTGTAGTCTGCAGTGTGGGGCCAGCTAGGTTCCTGTGCACAGCGTGAGGAAATGAAGTCTCCTGCTCTACGTTTTTGCACAGCTTTGAGTCTGTATATGTAGGATATTGATCTGGCTTCTGTTTTGTCATGAGGTGTCTATCCTGGGAGTAAACCACAGGAAAGTGGTAAAGTGAATGATAATAATCTGTCTCTAATTCAGGATAGCTCTTGTGTACACTCAAGATCAGATTAATAAAGACGAATATTTAAACACCCAACCACATCTACTCTAAATTGCCCTCCCAATTAAAGGAACAGTGAGCTTTAGTATGCACATTTTTCTTTGCTGAATTCCTAGAAAGTGGACTCATCATAGAATTGAACTAGAAAAATAGTCATAGTGGTAATTTTGTTTCATTTTGTCACACTGCAAGTGCCATTTAAGTACTTGATTTCCACTGTTCATTTACCGTGAAGGGAGTAAACTCCAAGGTGTTATTTCTTCAGGTGACAAGGCAACTGTACGAGCCACTTGTGATGCAGCTGATTCACTGGTTCACTAACAATAAGAAATTTGAAAGTCAGGATACTGTCGCCTTACTAGAAGCCATACTGGTGAGTAGTAGTTGATTCCTTTGCTGTGATTCTCATTGACCAGTTATATTTAATGTGTATTTAGGGCTTTTGGAAAAGTTACCTTGCTTTTTATGTTGTATTTATTATTCCATGTTAATGGGTCTGATGCCATACTTATTTAAGTGATGATTTTAAATATCTGCAACTAAACACTAGTTCTTAGGTATTTTTGTTCTATTTTGTATTTGACACTTATAAATTCACAAATGTTGTCAGTGTTAAGGGTGTGTATGTATGTGTTGAGGTGTGAGGACTAAGGATGTTCTCTGGGGCTCAGAGTGATTTTGTAATAGTCATAGTACAGTACTTAACAGTAAAAGGAACTTCTGAGTCTCATTTTCTCCTATAGCAGCACCTAAGGGGCCCGCCCTGGACACGGCAGCTTAGCTGTTCAGTAGAACTACAATGAGACGACAGAGACAGAGTCCTTAGGGTTTCATTGTTCACTGAGGACAGAGGCAGGGAGGTCAGCTAACCTGTCGCAGGGCATAATGCATTTTGTGTTAAAGGCACATCGTGCTGGGTGTACAGTACCCACATTTCTGTTTTTTGCTCCAAATGCCCTCATGGCTGGTTTGGCTGGTTTGGCTGGCTGGAGAGTTGGGATTGAACTACAGCAACCTGAGGCTGACAGCTTTGTGGAAGCAGCCACTTAAACAACTGAGCTAAGGTCAGGCCCCCACATTTCTGTTGATGAATTATGAATTTTAAATTTAATGAGTATTATATTAAGCAGTGAGTACTTGACAGCAAAAAAATTTAAAAAGCATTGATTTTTTTTTTTTTTGTGGCCAGTTCAGCCCACCCGGGAGTGGGCCTGGCATGGCATGTGTTGCTGGGGATCAAACCGTGGTCCCTGCATTTGTCTAAGCTTGCCTAAGCAGGTGCTTTAGACTGGTGAGCTATCTCACCAGCCCTGAATTTTTAATATTTGTTGAATACTTATAAAGAACATCAAAATTTTCTAAATCAACTTTTTGGTATACAAAGTCTAAAAATAACAACAGAAATAAATTCTAATATGAACTATAATGAAAGTACCAGTAGAACTCTGTAACAAAAAGTATCTTTGCTTTAATTGTCGCATCCAAGACCTTCTTCACATGTGGTAGCTGCGTGTTCCATGCAAACCTCTGACACACATGTGCTTACCTTCGCAGATATGGCAAGCCATTCTTGGCATCTCTCTTGTTTTCCTCTCAGGAGTGTTCTCCTATATTGTACAGCATGCACTTAGCAGAAAATAAGACATCAATAGAATAATGAGAACAGACATCAACATTTTCAAATCAGCTATGTATTTGCTTACTTACAAAACCTAAAAGATAACATCAGGAATAAAAGCTTATGTGAATTATAAATATAAACAAAGGTCTACCGCAGAAGTAAGCTTTGCTTTAACTGTCACACCCAAGGCAGTCTTCATACAACAAAGGCCTGTACCATGCACAGGGATCGCTTACACTGAGCACGTATGTTTTGTTTTCCTGTCCTTTTTTTGTATGACCAAGTTGACATCTTTTTGGTTTTCCTATCATGATAATAGGTCCTGTCAGCTCACCAGTGTGCTCTGTAATTTTTGCCTAGGTTCGTGGGAAGAAACATTTTGTTCTTTCTCTACTGTAGATGATGTCTTAGGAATTCCAGCCCCAATCCTCTAAGAAACTTTCTCCATAACACCTTGCACTTATTATGTTCTTTGTAAACTATCAAACTATGGCACATGTGTTTAGGATCAAATAAAACACCATTGGCCAGTTTTTTGTGTTTTGAGTGACATCAGAGTTGCTCCTTAACTCATTGAGAACATCTACTGTCTTTGTTTTTGTTGTAAAAAGTTACTACCTCAGGCTTCAGTTTCATGAGGTTTTAGTAGAAATAAAGAAGCTGAGTACCCCCTCCTCTCCCCTCCCTTCCCTTCCCCTTTCCCTCCCCTTCCTTAGACTATAAAAGCCACACCACCCTTAATACACTACCAAATGCTACAGCAACCATCATGTATTCAGATGGTGTGTAAATTGCTTGACATTTTGAAACAAGACTCTCAAACAATAGCAGCCAAATTATTAGTTCTTTTTCTTACTGGATGCTTTTGTCAATAAACCTCAGGCTATTTGGAAGGAAACCATCCTCTTATTGTCATTGTTATTCTAAAAACCTCAAGCTCACACCCATAAGTCTTTTATACTCCTATACTTATCAGGAGAAAGCCCTGCTAGGAATTGCAGATCTATGAATGCTTTCAGTTCACCTAGTGTGGTGTCATATTAAACACATTTTTGAGTATGGCTAGTGGTACATACAGAACAGTTTATTGTATTTCATTATTTGTATACTTCACAACATCTTGTGGCATTTTTTTAAATTTTATTT